CCAGTTGATATCAGTGCAGTTCCTGACTCAATAGCTCACCAGATCAAAGCTCTTTCGATGGATTGGACGAATCTATTCGTCTATGAATTCCCACCATGGTCTCTCCTAGACAAGGTCATCCACAAGGTGGAGGAGACGGATTGCGTAATAATACTGATAGTCCCAGTATGGCCCTGCAGGAATATTAAAGCTACTAATGGAGGAACCTATCTAGTTACTACTTTGTCGGGATCTGCTATGACGGCTCCAGCATATTTCATGAAAATCTGCCCAGCCTACATCTAACCTTAATCTCTAACCTACATCTTATTTCCTTAAGGTGCAAACATCCGGTTACTCTCAGCTTGCCTCGGATGCTGTGGCAAGATCGTGGCGACCATCATCCCTTTTATATGACAACAGATGGGACAAGTTTGTCCAGTGGAGAAGACGACTAGGGATTATTGATAATGCTGTATCAATCCCTATGATAGCGGACTTCCTTCTTCATCTGCATCAAGATAATAAATTCAGACAGAAGAAAGAAGGTTACAGATCAACCCTTCATTCTGTACTTCTACATGATTGATTATCTATCAGAAACCATCCCATCCTCAACAGATTAATGAAATCCTTTCTACTAGAAGATATTAGGACCCCTTGCATCTTCCCAAGTTGAATCTATCTGTGGTATTATTGGCACTGTTAACAGAACCTTACAAACCCATGGCAAAGGCTACCTTACTTCAAAAAGCCAGGTAAACATCGTTACTGCGAGCCATGGCTACAGCAGCAAGAGTTTCGGAGTTATATGCCTTGGAATTCTATAACGATAAGATCGCTCCCAGAATGTGTAGCCTAAAACCAAATTACCACAATGGGGCCGTTGGGTCATCGTCACTGTACAATCCTGGTATTGGAACCAACAGTGGATCAACCAGACAGGCTCTTGCTTACCATCAGAGCTCTCAAGTTCTATCTCTCAGCTACAGACCCACATAGACGCCGTTGAAGAAGAATCTTTCTATCCGGTAAGACCAACTTGAACAAGGATATCACTAAGGCTACTTTAGCAGGATGGATGAAGGCCACAGTTGCACAAAGCTATACACAGACTCAGAATTCCACACCATGCCCCTGATGCTGCTCAGCTCACAAAATAAGAGCCCTAGCCACGAGTTTCGTGTCATGGACGACATTCTCAGTAGAAAAAGTAGATTCCAGATGTCAGTGGGCCTCACAAAACACCTTCACCAGCTTTTACTTACGTGACGTGCATCCGGACCTACAGGGCATGTATTCCCTTGGTCTGGTGGTCGCAGCACAAACTATCGCCCAACAATAGTTTCAGACCGTCTGTCGAAAGGCAGGAGGATCCAACACCAGCAACATCAGAGGGTAAGTACACCCTTGATTACTCTGCTTAATAGGTGTAGGATCGATTAGAAGCACCTTAAATGTCATCTATCACCATTGACCAGAAGTGACGTCATTACCGGAAGCAATAGAGAAACCAGAAGTGACGTCAGCACCGGAAATAGCTGAACAAGGCTGTTCTAACCAGGAAATGATGTCTTTGGGGTAGAAATAGACCTAAAGAGACGTCATTACCAAAATGAGGAAGTGACATACCGGAAGTAACGTCATAACCATATGTGACATCATAACCAGAAGTGACATTGTCACATATTTGTCTGATTATTGACATAGTTTCTGATTTTCAAGTCCTCAAGGGGTTTTCAGAGGAAATTATCTCTGTAGGATGAGAATAGGTACATTATGGTTTCCAGAAGAGGATTACTGTCAATTACACAGGGGGGTACCAGAGGCAGATCCCTGGCTGGGGTCCCTTTAGTATATTCTGACAGATATGTAATAGAGGTAGAAGTTTCGTAAGAATTGTCAAACAATAGTTATCATTGTTAATAATTCTAAGAATACTACCTCTATTACATACGAATTACTCCCTCCCACCTCCCCAATTCATCTACCTCCAGTAAAAAATGAGGGAAAAAGTGATATGGCCGCTATTGTTATGTCACGGAGTGGGTGCTTACAAGACTGCTAGGCGGCAACTAATTGTATGTAATTGACAGTGAAGAGGAAGTCTGTTAAATTTCTGAAATTTTAGTTAGTGTGATTGAAGCCAATATACAAGATTTATGGCAGATGTGTAATAGAGATAGTAATCTTAGAATTATTAACAATTATAACTATTGTTTGATATTTGACAAAAACATTTGGATATACCTTTTGGTTACATTTGGTTGGGAATGAATGCGTCACTCTGGTACTCTCTTTTCAACTTGTCCATGGAGAGGGGGCTTCCAGCTGTTGCTGGGAAGTAGGACAGATTGAGTCACTCAGGCATTTTCTTTCAAAATGACATGAATTTGGTACTTGTGTAGTTATTAGTGGGGCTCAACACATGTGGTCCACTTTCAGCTTTTGTGTCTTCTTGACCTTTGCACTTTGACTATGGCATCAAATTCTCAAAGAATGGGGGCGGTCGGGTAGCCTAGTGGTTAAAGCGTTCGCTCATCACGCCGAAGACCCGGGTTCGATTCCCGACATGGGCACAATGTGTGAAGCCCATTTCTGGTGTTCCCCGCCATGATATTGCTGGAATATTGCTAAAAGCGGCGTAAAACCATAGTCACTCACTCTCTCTATTTCCTCCCTCTGTAAACACCATGTCCTCAGTGTAAACACCAAGTCCTCAGTGTAAACACCATGGCCTCAGTGTAAACACCATGTCCTCAGTGTAAACACCATGTCCTCAGTGTAAACACCATGGCCTCAGTGTAAACACCATGTCCTCAGTGTAAACACCATGTCCTCAGTGTAAACACCATGGCCTCAATGTAAACACTATGTCCTCAGTGTAAACACCAAGTCCTCAGTGTAAACACCATGTCCTCAGTGTAAACACCATGGCCTCAGTGTAAACACCATGGCCTCAGTGTAAACACACAGTCCTCAGTGTAAACACCATGGCCTCAATGTAAACACCATGGCCTTAATGTAAACACCATGTCCTCAGTGTAAACACACAGTCCTCAGTGTAAACACCATGGCCTTAATGTAAACACCATGGCCTCAGTGTAAACACACAGTCCTCAGTGTAAACACCATGTCCTCAGTGTAAACACCATGTCCTTAGTGTAAACACCAAGTCATCAGTGTTAACACCATGGCCTCAATGTAAACACCTTGTCCTCAGTGTAAACACACAGTCCTCAGTGTAAACACCATGGCCTCAGTGTAAACACCATGGCCTCAATGTAAACACCATGTCCTCAGTGTAAACACCAAGTCCTCAATGTAAACACCATGTCCTCAGTGTAAGCACCATGTACTCAGTGTAAACACCATGTCCTCAATGTAAACACCATGTCCTCAGTGTAAACACCATGTCCTCAATGTTAACACCATGTCCTCAATGAAAACACCATGTCCTCAGTGTAAAGTGTAAAGAAGGTAACACATGCCAAAGTTTATGGTACATACTTTCTCTAAGTGCCATACATGCCCACAACAGGTGTACTGTTTTTGACATTGGTCTCCCAAAGTTACATCAAATAATACTAAAACAAGGGAGATAGTTATCATATAATGGGTGGGTTTCTCGGCAGGATAAAGCCAACGGACAAAAACGATATCTGTTGGGGTCATATGCGGATAGAGATGCAAATATCAAAGGTCAAGTAGGGACTACTTTCACTGTTTATAAGCAAACATGGCGTCGCCCTCGTCATTCGGCGATCGAGTTAGAATTAACCATCGGGAATCTGGATAAACTACAGGGATAATTGCTATCATTATCAAAAGAAGAGTCTAATATACTGAAAATCAGTGTCTAACTGTGACATAGCTAAGGCATTTTATAAGTTTTGGCAACTTTGGAGAAATAAATTTCGAAACAATTTTGCGAGGGCACGAGGCCTAGCCAAGCGGGATCAGTAGCCATGACTGGTAGACCTCTGCGGCTTGAAACCTTCTCCACAAATTGAAATAGTTGGATTTGGCTGAAACATGTTTGAATTGTTACCTTGTTTCGTTTTGTCGCTCTGTGTACATCTGACTACACTTCTTACGTTATGACAGGACAGACCGACTGTCAACAACGCCTGTACGTGACCGTGACGTCTCATAGACTAGGGTTAGAGTAGCTTCCCTTTGACAAAGGGCAGTTACTCTAGCCGACAGACCGATGGATTGCCGCGAAAGGGAATTAAAAACAGTTGTTGTTTTGCATACATGTTGCTACTGTCACTGTCCGACTGACACATCACTTACCCTGTGACGTAATAAATATTAATGCGCGCATTCCAGGAAAACTCACATTGTTTCGGTAATGTTTGTGAGAGAGGGAAAGCGATTTTGAAGCACAGAATTAAAGAATGACATTATATGATAAAGAGGTTATCACCCTTGTGTGTTTGGAGATGGTAAATATCCTGTATTAGGAATAAACACTATGTATTTAGCTCGCCAAGGCTCGCTAAATACAATGTTTATTCCTAATGTAGGATATTTACCATCCCAAAACACACTCGCGTGATAACCTCTATGGACATACAACTTCTTTATTACAATGAAGGTGATGTTTTGCTGTAGATACTAACACCATTATCAAGCAAGGGATGTACAGAAAGATAATAAACAAGGGATAATTGATGTTTATACAAGGTTGAATGATGACAGATTGGTGTTTACATAACAGCCAGGGTTCAAGTATGAAGCCTGATGTACATACTGGAATAAATAGGCATGGTATTAGTAACAATACTCTGATTGGTTTGGAAAAGTTGACATGTGGTGCTGCAGTGTGTGCTGTGACTTTCTGTTGCATTATAGTCATTAAGCCTTTCTAACCTTCACTTTTTATATGATGCTGCATATACTAAGCAGAGCTACATGGTTGTTGCAGTTCAGAAGGGGCAGTGTTAGTTGACAGCTGGTGTAACATGGTTAAGGCAGTGTCTTGTGGTTATAATGTGTTTCTATGCTTGCTGCAGCAGGAGAAGATGAAAGGGGTGGAGCTGAAAGATGAGTGGCAGGATGACGGCTTCCCTGGCATGTTGGCAGAGGGGAGTGGCACACGGGATAAAGGTAACACACCTCATGGCTGATAAAGGTTACATGTGCTAACTGATAAAAGGTTACATGTGCTAACTGATAAAGGTTACATGTGCTAACTGATAAAGGTTACATGTGCTAACTGATAAAGGTTACATGTGCTAACTGATAAAGCTTACATGTGCTAACTGGTAAAGGTTACATGTGCTAACTGATAAAGGTTACATGTGATAACTGATAAAGGTAACATGTGCTAATTGATAAAGGTTACATGTGCTAATTGATAAAGGTTACATTTGCTAATTGATAAAGGTTACATATGCTAATTGATCAAGGTTACATGTGCTAACTGATAAGGGTTACATGTGCTAACTGATAAAGCTTACATGTGCTAACTGATAAAGGTTACATATGCTAATTGATAAAGGTTACATATCCTAATTGATAAAGGTTACATGTGATAACTGATAAAGCTTACATGTAGTAACTGATAAAGCTTACATGTGCTAACTGGTAAAGGTTACATGTGCTAACTGATAAAGGTTACATATGCTAACTGGTAAAGGTTACATGTAGTAACTGATAAAGCTTATATGTGCTAACTGGTAAAGGTTACATGTGCTAATTGAGAAAGGTTACATATGCTAATTGATAATGGTTACATGTGCTAATTGATACAGGTTACATATGGTAACTGATAAAGCTTACATATGCTAATTGATAAAGGTTACATGTGCTAATTGATAAAGGTTACATTTGCTTACTGGTAGAGCTTACATGTGCTAATTGATAAAGGTTACATGTGTTAATTGATAAAGGTTACATAAGGTAACTGATAAAGCTTACATGTGCTAACTGGTTAAGGTTACATGTGCTTATTGATAAAGGTTACATGTGCTTATTGATAAAGGTTACATATGGTAACTGATAAAGCTTACATGTGCTAACTGGTAAAGGTTACATTTGCTAATTGATAAAGGTTACATGTGTTAATTGATAAAGGTTACATATGGTAACTGATAAAGCTTACATTTGCTAACTGGTTAAAATTACATGTGCTAATTGATAAAGGTTACATGTGCTAATTGATAAAGGTTACATATGGTAACTGATAAAGCTTACATGTGCTAACTGGTAAAGGTTACATGTGCTAATTGATAAAGGTTACATGTGCTAATTGATAAAGGTTACATAAGGTAACTGATAAAGCTCACATGTGCTAACTGGTAAAGGTTACATGTGCTAATTGATAAAGGTTACATGCGCTAATTGATAAAGGTTACATGTGCTAATTGATCAAGGTTTCATCTGCTAACTGATAAAGGTTACTTGAGCAAACAGATCAATGTTACAAGTGGTAACTGGTAAAGGTTACAAGTACTAATTGATAAAGGTTATATATGGTTACTGATAAAATACACTTTTGCTAACTGATAAAGATTACAATGTGGTTACTGATAAAGGTTACATGGGCTAACTGATAAAGGTAACATGTAACTGATCAAGGTAAGATGTTACTGATAAAGGTAACATGTAACTGTTGAAGGTAACATGTAACTGTTGAAGATTACATGTAACTGATAAAGGTAACATGTTACTGATCAAGGTAACATGTAGCTGATCAAGGTAACATGTAGCTGATGAAGGTAACATGTAGCTGATGAAGGTAACATGTAACTGATGAAGGTAACATGTAACTGATGAAGGTAACATGTAACTGATCAAGGTAACATGTATCTGATGAAGGTAACATGTAGCTGATCAAGGTAACATGTATCTGATGAAGGTAACATGTATCTGATGAAGGTAACATGTAGCTGATGAAGGTAACATGTAGCTGATGAAGGTAACATGTAACTGATGAAGGTAACATGTAGCTGATGAAGGTAACATGTAACTGATGAAGGTAAGATGTATCTGATGAAGGTAAGATGTAACTGATGAAGGTAACATGTATCTGATGAAGGTAACATGTAACTGATGAAGGTAACATGTAACTGATCAAGGTAACATGTATCTGATGAAGATAACATGTGTCTGATGAAGGTAACATGTAACTGATCAAGGTAACATGTATCTGATGAAGGTAACATGTAACTGATCAAGGTAACATGTAGCTGATGAAGGTAACATGTAACTGATCAAGGTAAAATGTATCTGATGAAGGTAACATGTATCTGATGAAGGTAACATGTAACTGATGAAGGTAACATGTATCTGATGAAGGTAACATGTAACTGATCAAGGTAACATGTAACTGATCAAGGTAACATGTAACTGATCAAGGTAACATGTATCTGATGAAGGTAACATGTATCTGGTGAAGGTAACATGTAACTGATGAAGGTAACATGTATCTGATGAAGGTAACATGTAACTGATCAAGGTAACATGTATCTGATGAAGGTAACATGATACTGATGAAGGTAAGATGTAACTGATGAAGGTAACATGTATCTGATGAAGGTAACATGGCAACTGATAAGGATGACATGTTACTGATGAAGGTAACATGGGAGTTGATAAGGGATATTTATCTGAAAAGACCACATTCCTGCCAGATGTTGTGGACAGTCATGAGTGCATGGGCACAAACTGGAGGAACTGCTAATTGTGACTGCTGCCACATACCTGCTGCCAAGAAAATGAATTATAAAAATGTCAAAGGTTATCAATTTTAACTCTATCAAAAACAATAAATCTGTTTTGTGATAATTTATCAGTAAAAAGAACATGTAGACTTTATTTTCATGTAGCAGAGTAATTTCTCATCCTTGAAATTTGTTTTTGAATATTTCTTTACTACCTATGCATTTCTCTTTGTGGAGAGTACCAGGTCTATCTTCCCTTGCTCTGATGTTTTCCATTTGAGTACACTGGCTGGGTACAAGAAAGGAAAACAACCAGAGCCTGCTTCCATTGCGGAATGCGATGGCCCAAGATGATTTGAAGTAATGTATGGTATCCTCATCCTGTCCCACAGCACGGCCACGAACACTAGGGGCCTCTGAAGGCGGACGTGCCAAAAAGAAAATATTGCCAGACATCAACTTGCTCAGCGATGAAGATGCTAGTGAAGGGGATGTATTGCCGGATATTGATGATCTTGAGACCCCCCATGACCTTGACACACCAGATGATCTTGAAGACGGTGATCTGGGTGAACTAGAATGGGAAAGTAAGTGTACTGAATGTTTGGTCTCATTTACCAAGTATTGATTGGTACACCCAGTAGGGCTGCCATCACAGTAGCTGACAGTCACACCCAGTAGGGCTGCCATCACAGTAGCTGATACTCACACCCAGTAGGGCTGCCATCACAGTACTTGATACTAGGGCTGCAACGATACAGGAAGGTCACGATACGAAACGCATCTCGATATTCTGGTCACGATACGATACGTATCTCGATACGCAATGCTAAAAAAACAAGACTTAAAGCATGTCAAGAATGAACCTTTCATGATTTTGGAACAGTCAAAATTATTTTATTACAACAAGACTACTGAAGTTGTTCAACTTTCCTTCAAAACAATTCAAAGTTCAAACACCAGAAAATAACTATTGTACTCAAACAGTGATACAACTTCAAAGAATTTTGATGCAATGGTCGAAGAAATTGTATCTGAAATTATTGTTTTATCAGGAATAATTTATTCCAATATCGTGTTACCTTAGTTGCAGCTTTTACTATATATATATTTATAATTATAAGAACCACAAGTGTAGCATACTGGTGATTGCTGTTGCAGGATATTTTTACGTATGGAACAATTTGACCAGTCACCCTAGGGACTTCCCGTGCTACATGTATTTCGATTGCGATAACATTATGTTGACATATATTAGCCAAATTGCCACAAATATGACTATTAACGAGTCAAAGTATGGCATTTTTAATATATGTATCCATTCTCTAGCAACTAAAGTTTGTTTCAATGCGTCAAAAGCGATAATCTGATCGTGGTTGCTGTATCTCTTCACACACAATTTCACATAAATTAATGAAAACAATATTAAATGAAATTTTGATTAAAATTAATAAAATATATTACATACACAAGTCCAGATATACAATGAACACATTTTAATAACAAGATAGTATAATAATGGTATTGAATTGCGTACTTCAGTTCGGATTTGCTGACTGGTATTTTCGGTGTTATGTGCTTGCGGTGATCAGCTGATAATGTTTTATGAGATGGGAAAAAACATCTGTCGGTGTAAAACCTGAGCTTTTTAAAAATGTAAGTACGTTTTGGGGAGCCATGCGTTAGCGCGTGCTATAACCAAGTTAGCGGTTTATTGAAAGGCACAATAGCGAGGAAACGCTGTACTTGTGATTTGTGTTCCGTATCGTGGGGTATCGATAAATGGGCCCACGTTTATCGTATATCGTATCGTGGGTCAAGTATCGCGATGCATCGGAATATCGGTGTATCGTTTCACCCTTACTTGATACTCACATCCAGGAGGGCTGCCATCACAGTAGCTGACAGTCACACCCAGTAGGGCTGCCATCACAGTAGCTGATACTCACACCCAGTAGGGCTGCCATCACAGTAGCTGATAGGCACACCCAGTAGGGCTGCCATCACAGTACATGACAGTCACACCAAGTAGGGCTGCCATCACAGTAGCTGATACTCACACCCAGTAGGGCTGCCATCACAGTAGCTGATACTCACACCCAGTAGGGCTTCCATCACAGTAGCTGATACTCACACCCAGTAGGGCTGCCATCACAGTAGCTGATACTCACACCCAGTATGGCTGCCATCACAGTAGCTGATACTCACACCCAGAAGGGCTGCCATCACAGTACTTGACAGTCACACCAAGTAGGGCTGCCATCACAGTAGCTGATACTCACACCCAGTAGGGCTGCCATCACAGTAGCTGATACTCACACCCAGTAGGGCTGCCATCACAGTACATGACAGTCACACCCAGAATGGCTGCCATCACAGTAGCTGATACTCACACCCAGTAGGGCTGCCATCACAGTAGCTGACAGTCACACCCAGTAGGGCTGCCATCACAGTAGCTGATACTCACACCCAGTAGGGCTGCCATCACAGTAGCTGATACTCACACCCAGTAGGGCTGCCATCACAGCACTTGATACTCACACCAAGTAGGGCTGCCATCACAGCACTTGATACTCACACCAAGTAGGGCTGCCATCACAGTAGCTGATACTCACACCCAGTAGGGCTGTCACCACAGTACATGACAGTCACACCCAGTAGGGCTGCCATCACAGTAGCTGATACTCACACCCAGTAGGGCTGCCATCACAGTAGCTGATACTCACACCCAGTAGGGCTGCCATCACAGTAGCTGATACTCACACCCAGTAGGGCTGCCATCACAGTAGCTGATACTCACACCCAGAAGGGCTGCCATCACAGTACTTGACAGTCACACCATGTAGGGCTGCCATCACAGTAGCTGATAGTCACACCCAGTAGGGCTGCCATCACAGTACATGACAGTCACACCCAGTAGGGCTGCCATCACAGTAGCTGATACTCACACCCAGAAGGGCTGCCATCACAGTAGCTGACAGTCACACCCAGAAGGGCTGCCATCACAGTAGCTGACAGTCACACCCAGAATGGCTGCCATCACAGTAGGTGATACTCACACCCAGTAGGGCTGCCATCACAGTAGCTGATAGTCACACCCAGTAGGGCTGCCATCACAGTCGCTGATAGTCACACCCAGTAGGGCTGCCATCACAGTAGCTGACAGTCACACCCAGTAGGGCTGCCATCACTGTAGCTGACAGTCACACCCAGTAGGGCTGCCATCACAGTAGCTGATACTCACACCCAGTATGGCTGCCATCACAGTAGCTGATACTCACACCCAGTAGGGCTGCCATCACAGTAGGTGATAGTCACACCCAGTAGGGCTGCCATCACAGTAGCTGATACTCACACCCAGTAGGGCTGCCATCACAGTACATGACAGTCACACCCAGTAGGGCTGCCATCACAGTAGCTGATACTCACACCCAGAATGGCTGCCATCACAGTAGCTGACAGTCACACCCAGTAGGGCTGCTATCACAGTAGCTGATACTCACACCCAGTAGGGCTGCCATCACAGTAGCTGAAACTCACACCCAGTAGGGCTGCCATCACAGTAGCTGACAGTCACACCCAGTAGGGCTGCCATCACAGTAGCTGATACTCACACCCAGTAGGGCTGCCATCACAGTAGCTGAAACTCACACCCAGTAGGGCTGCCATCACTGTAGCTGACAGTCACACCCAGTAGGGCTGCCATCACAGTAGCTGATACTCACACCCAGTAGGGCTGCCATCACAGTAGCTGATACTCACACCCAGTAGGGCTGCCATCACAGTAGCTGATAGTCACACCCAGTAGGGCTGCCATCACAGTAGCTGATACTCACACCCAGTAGGGCTGCCATCACAGTACATGACAGTCACACCCAGTAGGGCTGCCATCACAGTAGCTGATACTCACACCCAGAAGGGCTGCCATCACAGTAGCTGACAGTCACACCCAGTAGGGCTGCTATCACAGTAGCTGATACTCACACCCAGTAGGGCTGCCATCACAGTAGCTGTAACTCACACCCAGTAGGGCTGCCATCACAGTAGCTGACAGTCACACCCAGTAGGGCTGCCATCACAGTAACTGACAGTCACACCCAGTAGGGCTGCTATCACAGTAGCTTATACTCACACCCAGTATGGCTGTCATCACAGTAGCTGATACTCACACCCAGTAGGGCTGCCATCACAGTAGCTGATAGTCACACCCAGTAGGGCTGCCATCACAGTACATGACAGTCACACCCAGTAGGGCTGCCATCACAGTAGCTGATACTCACACCCAGTATGGCTGCCATCACAGTAGCTGATAGTCACACCCAGTAGGGCTGCCATCACAGTAGCTGATAGTCACACCCAGTAGGGCTGCCATCACAGTAGCTGATACTCACACCCAGTATGGCTGCCATCACAGTAGCTGATAGTCACACCCAGAATGGCTGCCATCACAGTAGCTGATACTCACACCCAGTAGGGCTGCCATCACAGTAGCTGATAGTCACACCCAGAAGGGCTGCCATCACAGTAGCTGACAGTCACACCCAGAAGGGCTGCCATCACAGTAACTGACAGTCACACCCAGAATGGCTGCCATGACAGTAGGTGATACTCACACCCAGTAGGGCTGCCATCACAGTAGCTGATAGTCACACCCAGTAGGGCTGCCATCACAGTCGCTGATAGTCACACCCAGTAGGGCTGCCATCACAGTAGCTGACAGTCACACCCAGTAGGGCTGCCATCACAGTAGCTGATACTCACAAACAGGATGGCTGCCATCACAGTAGCTGATAGTCACACCCAGAAGGGCTGCCATCACAGTACTACAACATAGCTGACTATTAATTTATTAGCATATGACACAGTAGTTGATGATTATGTTATGTTAATTTTCAGAGAGAATAAAGAAACTAAAAGGTAAAAGATCCTTGTTTTGTGCATGACATGTTAGAAGGCATGTGCTGGTATGGTGTTGGCAGGCTGGGGTATGGGAGAACAGTGGAGGCCAGTTGTTGTGCATGTCTCACTGTGCTTGGGGTCATGGCTGATCTTGGAACTAGTTGTCATCTTTGAAGAGACATCATTTGTTTGTACAAGTTTGTGCAGTTATGCTCCAGTAAAACTCTGTCAGATTCCTATGTGTATGAAGATGTCTGCACACATGTATTTGTCTGTGACATGTTATAAGTAGAGAATATTTGTGAAAGTAAATATGTTGCCCCTGAACAATTGTTCTGGTGGATTTGATATGCCAGGAGTTTTCCTGTGGAACCATATATCAAGGAAGAAAATACCACAAGAACAAAACTCCTGGTATATTGATTCCACCAGAACAAGTGTTCAGGACAACATATGTACTCTCACACATGCAGCTGTTGTATTAATATGTACCTGTGATGGCTCGACAATTGAGTTCATTGTAGCTACTGACTGCCATGTTGTTCTGTGCAAGTCTCAGATTACTTGGATTGACGGTCTATGTTAGGTTATCATGAATCTGTGTTTGTCCATAAGTGGGGAGGTGAAATGGGGTTTATCCCCCTAGATGCCACAGGGACATATATATGCCCCTCCTCTCCAATTCTCAATTTGAAGATGAATAACACTCAAAATACATCACGCACACTTCACAGTTTTGAATTCTGCAAAATTCTCTGTTCTGTGATATCATCCACAGTCATTTTAGGCAAAGCATTTCATGTATATTTGGAAATATCAGATATTTACAATGAGAATTCAGTAACAAAAAAAAGCACATTAATGAATACGGATACTTTCGATTTATCATTTGAACAATGACCATTCTGAATTGTCACAAATAATATATCCTAACAATTATTGTGCATCTTTCAGAAAATACGCAAACATGAATGCCAAAGTCAACACATTGGATCCCGTCTCACATATGGCAGCTTTGAGATGTCTATTACATCCTGTATTTGTCACACATCCCTGACATCCCCATACATTTTAACATCAAACAACACATTGTGTTTGTTCTTCATGAATATGGTCCAGAAAAATCAAGTGAAATAAATCTAGGTGTGAATGTTAGGCCCCCTTTTTTGTGAGTGTACTTCTCTGTTGCCTTTTGCAATTCGTACACAATGCACCAATGACAGATGTACTTTGAGTATTTGGTCCAAATATGCATGTACTTTTTTCACCTTATCCCCATTTTATGTAGACAATATTTCTGCTACAAGTGTTGACAATGCTGATGGTGACTGAACTTCTTATAAAGGGGCCAGGCCTTTCTTCGATATGTGAAATAGTGTTTTATTTCTTCGGGATCCTTGATGTTAGTCATAGAAGCAAGGAGCAAAAATACGAGAAATCTATGACATAAGAACTGGGGGATGTTCCAGGCTTCTACACCAGCAACTGTCATGTTACACTGTACATCATCAAACCAGTAATGATATCATAAAATTCTATTCCAGGTCTTCCGACATGTAACCATAATGAAATACTAAACACCAAGTAAGATGTGACTAACAGGATCAGGTGGTCAGGCTCGCCGACTTGGTTGATGCATGTCATCGTATCCCAGTGACGTAGATCGATGCTCATGATGTCAATCACTGGATTGTCTGGTCAAGACTCAGTTATTTACAGACAGCTGTCATATCGCTGGAATATTGCTGAGTGTGGCATTAAACAACAAACAAAATAAACAACAAAAGCATGTATTTCATTAGAATTTCAGGATTCTGTATTATGACCTACGATGAGGATTTAAGGCAGTATTGATAGTCCAACTAGTGTAGCAGGTGTATGACCTTCTGTTGTACAGACGACACACCAGTTCTCTCCCCTGATGACATTGACCCGATCCCAGAATATACAGAACAAGAGGAGAAGCATGATGCACGGCACTGGAAGACAGTGACTGTCGGGGACAAGCAGTACAAGATTGATCTGAAGGTCATTGAGCCCTACAAGAAGGTCCTGTCACATGGAGGTAGGTTCCACCACTGATCATTCTCTTTATGTCATATAGTGCAAGCAGTCTGGTAGCAGGCACATCAAGTTGTAAGTCTTTATGTCATATAGTGCAAGCAGTCTGGTGGCAGGCACATCAAGTTGTAAGTCTTTATGCCATATAGTGCAAGCAGTCTGGTAGCAGGCACATCAAGTTGTAAGTATTTATGTCATATAGTGCAAGCAGTCTGGTAGCAGGCACATCAAGTTGTAAGTCTTTATGTCATATAGTGCAAGCAGTCTGGTAGCAGGCACATCAAGTTGTAAGTCTTTATGTCATATAGTGCAAGCAGTCTGGTAGCAGGCACATCAAGTTGTAAGTATTTATGTCATATAGTGCAAGCAGTCTGGTAGCAGGCACATCAAGTTGTAAGTATTTATGTCATATAGTGCAAGCAGTCTGGTGGCAGGCACATCAAGTTGTAAGTCTTTATGTCATATAGTGCAAGCAGTCTGGTGGCAAGCACATCAAGTTGTAAGTCTTTATGTCATATAGTGCAAGCAGTCTGGTGGCAGGCACATCAAGTTGTTAGTCTTTATGTCATATAGTGCAAGCAGTCTGGTAGCAGGCACATCAAGTTGTTAGTATTTATGTCATATAGTGCAAGCAGTCTGGTAGCAGGCACATCAAGTTGTTAGTCTTTATGTCATATAGTGCAAGCAGTCTGGTAGCAGGCACATCAAGTTGTAAGTCTTTATGTCATATAGTGCAAGCAGTCTGGTAGCAGGCACATCAAGTTGTAAGTCTTTATGTCATATATTGCAAGCAGTGTGGTGGCAGGCACATCAAGTTGTAAGTCTTTATGTCATATATTGCAAGCAGTGTGGTGGCAGGCACATCAAGTTGTAAGTCTTTATGTCATATAGTGCAAGCAGTCTGGTAGCAGGCGCATCAAGTTGTTAGTCTTTATGTCATATAGTGCAAGCAGTCTGGTAGCAGGCACATCAAGTTGTAAGTCTTTATGTCATATGGTGCAAGCAGTCTGGTGGCAGGCACATCAAGTTGTTAGTCTTTATGTCATATGGTGCAAGCAGTCTGGTAGCAGGCACATCAAGTTGTTAGTATTTATGTCATATAGTGCAAGCAGTCTGGTAGCAGGCACATCAAGTTGTTAGTATTTGTGTCATATAGTGCAAGCAGTCTGGTAGCAGGCGCATCAAGTTGTAAGTCTTTATGTCATATAGTGCAAGCAGTCTGGTAGCAGGCACATCAAGTTGTTAGTATTTATGTCATATAGTGCAAGCAGTCTAGTAGCAGGCACATCAAGTTGTAAGTCTTTATGTCATATAGTGCAAGCAGTCTGGTGGCAGGCACATCAAGTTGTAAGTCTTTATGTCATATAGTACAAGAAGTCTGGTAGCAGGCACATCAAGTTGTAAGTCTTTATGTCATATAGTGCAAGCAGTCTGGTGGCAGGAACATCAAGTTGTAAGTCTTTATGTCATATAGTGCAAGCAGTCTGGTAGCAGGCACATCAAGTTGTTAGTATTTATGTCATATAGTGCAAGCAGTCTGGTAGCAGGCACATCAAGTTGTTAGTCTTTATGTCATATAGTGCAAGCAGTCTGGTGGCAGGAACATCAAGTTGTTTGTATTTATGTCATATAGTGCAAGCAGTCTGGTGGCAGGCACATCAAGTTGTTAGTCTTTATGTCATAAAGTGCAAGCAGTCTGGTAGCAGATCAGACATCAAGTTGTAAGTATTTATGTCATATAGTGCAAGCAGTCTGGTAGCAGGCGCATCAAGTTGTAAGTCTTTATGTCATATGGTGCAAGCAGTCTGGTGGCAGGCACATCAAGTTGTAAGTCTTTTTGTCATATAGTGCAAGCAGTCTGGTGGCAGGCACATCAAGTTGTAAGTCTTTATGTCATATAGTACAAGAAGTCTGGTAGCAGGCACATCAAGTTGTAAGTCTTTATGTCATATAGTGCAAGCAGTCTGGTAGCAGGCACATCAAGTTGTAAGTCTTTATGTCATATAGTGCAAGCAGTCTGGTAGCAGGCACATCAAGTTGTAAGTCTTTATGTCATATAGTACAAGAATTCTGGTAGCAGGCACATCAAGTTGTAAGTCTTTATGTCATATAGTGCAAGCAGTCTGGTGGCAGGCTCGTCAAGTTGTTAGTCTTTATGTCATATAGTGCAAGCAGTCTGGTAGCAGGCACATCAAGTTGTAAGTCTTTATGTCATATAGTGCAAGCAGTCTCGTAGCAGGCACATCAAGTTGTAAGTCTTTATGTCATATAGTACAAGCAGTCTGGTAGCAAGCACATCAAGTTGTAAGTCTTTATGTCATATAGTGCAAGCAGTCTTGTGGCAGGAACATCAAGTTGTTTGTATTTATGTCATATAGTGCAAGCAGTCTGGTGGCAGGCACATCAAGTTGTTAGTCTTTATGTCATATAGTGCAAGCAGTCTGGTAGCAGGCGCATCAAGTTGTAAGTCTTTATGTCATAAAGTGCAAGCAGTCTGGTAGCAGATCAGGCATCAAGTTGTAAGTATTTATGTCATATAGTGCAAGCAGTCTGGTAGCAGGCGCATCAAGTTGTAAGTCTTTATGTCATATAGTGCAAGCAGTCTGGTGGCAGGCACATCAAGTTGTTAGTATTTATGTCATATAGTGCAAGCAGTCTGGTAGCAGGCACATCAAGTTGTAAGTCTTTATGTCATATAGTGCAAGCAGTCTGGTAGCAGGCACATCAAGTTGTAAGTCTTTATGTCATATAGTGCAAGCAGTCTGGTAGCAGGCACATCAAGTTGTTAGTATTTATGTCATATAGTGCAAGCAGTCTGGTAGCAGGCACATCAAGTTGTAAGTCTTTATGTCATATAGTGCAAGCAGTCTGGTAGCAGGCACATCAAGTTGTTAGTCTTTATGTCATATAGTGCAAGCAGTCTGGTAGCAGGCACATCAAGTTGTAAGTCTTTATGTCATATAGTGCAAGCAGTCTGGTAGCAGGCACATCAAGTTGTAAGTCTTTATGTCATATAGTGCAAGCAGTCTGGTAGCAGGCACATCAAGTTGTTAGTATTTATGTCATATAGTGCAAGCAGTCTGGTAGCAGGCACATCAAGTTGTAAGTCTTTATGTCATATAGTGCAAGCAGTCTAGTAGCAGGCTCATCAAGTTGTTAGTCTTTATGTCATATAGTGCAAGCAGTCTGGTGGCAGGCACATCAAGTTGTTAGTATTTATGTCATATAGTGCAAGCAGTCTGGTAGCAGATCAGGCATCACGTTGTTAGTCTTTATGTCATATAGTGCAAGCAGTCTGGTAGCAGGCACATCAAGTTGTTAGTATTTATGTCATATAGTGCAAGCAGTCTGGTAGCAGGCACATCAAGTTGTAAGTCTTTATGTCATATAGTGCAAGCAGTCTGGTAGCAGGCACATCAAGTTGTAAGTCTTTATGTCATATAGTGCAAGCAGTCTGGTAGCAGGCACATCAAGTTGTAAGTCTTTATGTCATATAGTACAAGAATTCTGGTAGCAGGCACATCAAGTTGTAAGTCTTTATGTCATATAGTGCAAGCAGTCTGGTGGCAGGCTCGTCAAGTTGTTAGTCTTTATGTCATATAGTGCAAGCAGTCTGGTAGCAGGCGCATCAAGTTGTAAGTCTTTATGTCATATAGTGCAAGCAGTCTCGTAGCAGGCACATCAAGTTGTAAGTCTTTATGTCATATAGTACAAGCAGTCTGGTAGCAAGCACATCAAGTTGTAAGTCTTTATGTCATATAGTGCAAGCAGTCTTGTGGCAGGAACATCAAGTTGTTTGTATTTATGTCATATAGTGCAAGCAGTCTGGTGGCAGGCACATCAAGTTGTTAGTCTTTATGTCATATAGTGCAAGCAGTCTGGTAGCAGGCGCATCAAGTTGTAAGTCTTTATGTCATAAAGTGCAAGCAGTCTGGTAGCAGATCAGGCATCAAGTTGTAAGTATTTATGTCATATAGTGCAAGCAGTCTGGTGGCAGGCGCATCAAGTTGTAAGTCTTTATGTCATATAGTGCAAGCAGTCTGGTAGCAGGCACATCAAGTTGTTAGTATTTATGTCATATAGTGCAAGCAGTCTGGTAGCAGGCACATCAAGTTGTAAGTCTTTATGTCATATAGTGCAAGCAGTCTGGTAGCAGGCACATCAAGTTGTAAGTCTTTATGTCATATAGTGCAAGCAGTCTGGTAGCAGGCACATCAAGTTGTTAGTCTTTATGTCATATAGTGCAAGCAGTCTGGTAGCAGGCACATCAAGTTGTAAGTCTTTATGTCATATAGTGCAAGCAGTCTGGTAGCAGGCACATCAAGTTGTTAGTATTTATGTCATATAGTGCAAGCAGTCTGGTAGCAGGCACATCAAGTTGTAAGTCTTTATGTCATATAGTGCAAGCAGTCTAGTAGCAGGCTCATCAAGTTGTTAGTCTTTATGTCATATAGTGCAAGCAGTCTGGTGGCAGGCACATCAAGTTGTTAGTATTTATGTCATATAGTGCAAGCAGTCTGGTAGCAGATCAGGCATCAAGTTGTTAGTCTTTATGTCATATAGTGCAAGCAGTCTGGTAGCAGGCACATCAAGTTGTTAGTATTTATGTCATATAGTGCAAGCAGTCTGGTAGCAGGCACATCAAGTTGTAAGTCTTTATGTCATATAGTGCAAGCAGTCTGGTAGCAGGCACATCAAGTTGTAAGTCTTTATGTCATATAGTGCAAGCAGTCTGGTAGCAGGCACATCAAGTTGTTAGTATTTATGTCATATAGTGCAAGCAGTCTGGTAGCAGGCACATCAAGTTGTTAGTATTTATGTCATATAGTGCAAGCAGTGTGGTAGCAGGCACATCAAGTTGTTAGTATTTATGTCATATAGTGCAAGCAGTCTGGTAGCAGGCACATCAAGTTGTAAGTCTTTATGTCATATAGTGCAAGCAGTCTGGTGGCAGGCACATCAAGTTGTAAGTCTTTATGTCATATAGTGCAAGCAGTCTGGTAG